AAATATAGTACAGTGGGTAGGAGTAACCCCTGAGCATTGCCGAATGTGACCCCAATATTTTTAAAACTGTTATGTGTTGTACCATATATATACATACTCACACACATATATATATACACACATATAATGAAACATTATGAAGTGGGGATATAGGAAATCTTGCAATTAAAACTGCAACTTGAATTGGAATTGGAATATTTCATGGTGAAGGAAATCAGAGGAAAAGAGAGAGATGAACTCCAGATGATCTCTCTCAACTGTGCTATATATAAAGATAAAACAAGGGAATAGATAGCATCAAATGATGGCAAACCCTTTGCTCTAGATTACTGAACAGAGAATGCCAGTAAGGTGGGGAGTAGGTTAGAGGAAAATGAAGTGGGTTGAATTTACCAAAAGGACTTTGGTAGAGGGTCTTAGGTACTTTGATTGTGGTGAGGTCAACTAACTTTATTCAACAAAACCCAATTTTGATAATGGTATTGCAAACATTTGCCCCAAATTACAATAGTGACATCTGAAAAAATGTGTTTGCCAAAGGAGTGGAGAATGGGGAATGGGGAGAGACCTTGAGATACTGGTGGAGGGATGCTGATAATGGCTGCAGGTGCGGTGTTTGAACATTCATTGATTGAAACTCTGGTATTAACAGTACTATAAATCATGATGCCTAATTTAAAACTGGAGGAGAAAAAACTGTTTTCAATCCTGCTTTTTCCTTTAGAGCTGTATCATGTGACTGCAAAATCAGAATGAGAATATTTTCTTCACAGGGCTGTTATGATTTCTCAATGGGTTAATATCAGATGGAATAATAAAACAGTGTTTGGACACTAAGTTATCTATAGTTGTTGAGTTCTTTCTGACTTCTCCCCTTGTCCAACTGATGAGAGAATAAAATGGAAAATGAGGGAGAGGACTTACAAAAATAACACATATATTAATCTGACACCCAAGTGTTTCTTCCTTGGAAAGAACTGTGGAACTATGGAAAGACTGGAACAATCTTTACACCTCAGGATAAGATTGAAGGGGCAGTATTTAAGGTCATACTAAACCCAAAGCCTGGGTAATCAGCTCTCAGTAACTCTGGCGATTTTCCTTTCTTCAGATACGTTTGGTCCAGCATTGAATATTATGGAAAGAACCGAATCTCTGGAAAAAAACCTGTTTCAACTTCCCCACTTCATCACTATGAGGGGCACACTGGTTTTATGCAAACTTCCTGTATCTGAGTTCCTCCTCTGTATAATGGAGCCACTGAGAGGCTGCCCACAGTACCAGCAGAGGGCCTGTTGGAGAGATGATGCTCAATAGTTGATAGTTTTCCTCTTTTGCATATGTTGTTACCAGTGATCCTGAGTGCATCTGTTCACCAACCAAGAAGTATATGGCTCAAGTATCATGATTCTCGATTCCTTTTAAGTCTTGATTATAGTTGTGAGTGCCCTATGATCAGACTTTGTATCTGACTGTAGTTTCTCACTTAGAGTAGAATGCCAGTGCCCTCAAGGTTTCCATTTGATCTAGTCTCTGTTTCTGCACTTCCCCTTCTGCCTTCCTCCACCTTGAGCACTGTTCTTCTTTCATCCTGCTATGCACTGTGTAGAGTTGTGCTCTGCCAGTTTCTAGCCATGTTTTCCCTATGTATGAATTCCCTCAGTTCCCCTTTCAGTCGTCTCTTCAAAGGAGTCTAGTTCTTTGTTGGTCCCTTTACTCTTTATTGTTCTTGTTGTTTGCCATCCCTGGCTGTTCTCAGGGCTTACTCCTAGCTCTGTGCTCAGAGATCACTCCTGGTGAGCTTGGGGGACCATATGGAGTGCTGGGGATAGAAGTGTGGTCAGGTGCATGCAAGGACCTTACCCGCTGTAATATTCCCCATCAGCCTTTATTCTTAATTGCAGTAGCATGTTACCTCTTATATACTACTAATCACATTATAATACTATGCATTCATTTACTTGTTTGTGTGTGTGTGTCCTTCCTATTCATTAGGTTATAAGCTCCCCCAGTAAAAATGGCTCTATGTATTTTGTATCCAAATGACCAGAGGCTACCATCAAATGTTTTCTATGAAACTTAATGATCCAATAAACACTAGCCCCTACATCTTATTTTGGAATTTACAATAAAGATCACTAAAGACTGTGAGCTTTATGAACCATTTGACTTTATTGAAAGCTTACTCTGCACTCTGGCTTTGGATAATTAAGCCCAGTCCTATTTTATCATGAGAAAATTACCAGCCACAAAATAACATCCATGGGAACAAGCTGGAATAGATGCTTATGATGGGGGGCGGGGGACACCAAAAAACTGAGAACTTTCTTTTCAGTAGCCAGAAAGAGAAATGAGGCTACTTTTTAAAAATAGTTAGCCAACTCTTAGGCCATAATTATTCCTGTCTGCTTTGAGAAAGATGAGCCCTGCTGTGCTCGTCCCTGTTTCTCTGTTCAAGTAAATGAACTACCATAAACATGAGTTTCTAGTATTGGAAGGATCAAAACCACTAGCATAACTCCCAGATAAAAGCTCACCAAAAAATGCTATCTTTCAGCTAAAAGTCTGGAGACTCAAATCTGAAATTATTTTCCCTTTTGGAGACAGTTTCACCAAAACTTCTCTTTTTTCTTTTCCTTTTTTTGGGGGGGGTCACACCCAGCAATGCTCAGGGGTTACTCCTGGCTCTGCACTCAGGAATTACTCCTGGCAGTGCTCGAGGGACCATATGGGATGCCGGAAATCGAACCCGGGTCAGCCGCATGCAAGGCAAACGCCCTACCTGCTGTGCTATTGCTCTAGCCCCAATCACCAAAACTTCTTAAACACCTTTGGAATCACTTCCATTTAAAGCTGGGGAGAGCTTTATAAACATCAGGGTCTGGTGGAGTATGAGGCAGTTGCAAAGGTTTAAATAATATAGGACAACATCAATTTAGGGAATAAAAATATTCTCATTATTTGGGAAGGGACCAACTCTTGCATGATGTTAGGCATCTGGCTCATAACATTGGAATGTAAAAGAATTTTCCCTGCTAAGAATCTAGCTATCTGGGCAGGGATTTTACAATTGGGATTCACAATAAAGGGCTATGAGTTTTATGAACCATTTGAGTTTATTGAAAGTTTGCTCTCTCCTCTAACTTTGAATAATTAAGTAAAGCCTTCTGAAGTAACCTCCTGATAGGTCTCTTGGCTCTGGGTCACCCCAGTTGGTCCCCAATAGACACAGACATCATTATTAGACTGTTCTTATGACAATCAAAATATTTCTCTGATCGTACTGACTGAGTTAAGAGTCAAAATTTCTGTCAGGCTCTTTGGTAGTGCTATCCCAACATTAAATCTAGACATCTTTCTTTCATTATTTTTCATTATTTTTCACTTATCTTTCATTATTTTTGACTCTTTTATCCAAATTCTTCAACCAGACATATAGATCTCTTTTTCTTTCATGGTCTCATACCTCACATATGTAGGGCAAGTGCTTTACCCGTAAACTACATACCCACCCTACCGATCTTTTATTATAAATAAAAAAAAAAAACCTCTAGCAACCTTTGGATGGTGGATGCTCAGCAATTCCCAGCAAACTTTGGGTGGTGGCCAAATTGCTGGCTGTTGCCCACGAACCCCAAGGCAGAGGCTGCATAGCCTCTGACTTTATTCTAGTGCAGCACAAACTGGTATAAAGAACCAGCATCATCCAGCGTTCTGATTGGACCAAGTGCCTGTGTGTGGAAGGTGCAAAAGAGGAGCCTAGAGGCCACTAGTGTCCTTTTCACCAAGAGGAAAGGATGAAATAAGTGTGTGAGCAATTGTTTCCTCCAGCCCACATTGGGCTGGAAAAGACTGCCAGGGACTGTTCAAACACTAGAGCTGTGGTTTTGATTTCTTTACACCCAAAAATGGGACAAAACACAAAAATTGACTTAAATCAGAAATAAAAAACACACACACAAAAAAACTTGAATCAGGAATAAAAAAACCCTTTCTTTACAACAGCATTTTCTGATACTCATTTTTCAATCTAATCTGCTCAAAGGGAAATTTTATCCAGGCATGCTATGTGTTAAGTGACAGTAACTTTTTCATGGCCTAGCAGAAAATTTCTGTGGACTGGCACCAGTCCACACAGACCAGTGGCTGAAAACCACTGTCCTGGAGTCTAGCTTCTTAAATGGTAGGTTGTGACCCTCTGGGAGTTATGAAAAAAGGTGTTTTAAAATAAATTTATGATTATTACCAGCAAATGTTAGATTTGTATACTGATGTTCTGTTCCCAGGATCACTGCATACCAGTCCAGAGACACAGATACAGGGTATTAAACTGTTTAGATGATTGCAGTGGATAGTCAAGGTGAAGAACCATTAGCCAAAAGTGATGGCCCAGAGATAAAGGCTGAGCCGTGCTCAGTGATGACTGGAGAAGACTAAATCAGTGCTGTGTTCACCAACTAACCACCACAGAGCTCCAGATCAGAGAAGTCAGGACACCTGGATGGCTGCCAGAGCAGGGGTGGCATCTCCCAAGTGGTGCTCAAGAGGTCCAGAGTTGGGGTTGGGGAATTCCTTTCCCCAACTCTAGGTCAACCAGCCAACAGTTCAATGTAAGGGCCTGAGGTTGTGCTGCTGTTAGGGGACTCCCAGGGCCAAAACCAGCAGTACTAAGAAGCTTCCTTTGGTCCTCAGTAGACCCTATGGTTCTGGTGATAGAACCAGGGTTAGCTGCATGCAAGGCAAGAGCCTTAACCCCTGGACTGTCTCTCTAGCCCCTCCCTTTCACTTCTAATTTTCCCATTGTAGGGTAGAATTGGCACAGAATGAAAACAGAGGCAAGTGTGAAAGGCAGGAGGAAGTGGGAACTGACAGAAAGAGAGACACAAAGGAGCATCCTTGCCAGCAGAAAAACACCAGCTTCAGAGAGAAGCACTGGGGTGTTTACAGCAGAGGGGCGGAGGGTAGCCGAGAGCCAGCCTCAGAGGAAATGCTGTACTCACAGAGTGGATGATGCCTTGCAGAGCCTGAAAACCATCATTGACAGGAAACACATGATCCTTACTGTCGGCAATCCGGGCCAGCTGAGAACATAACACACAAACACACGGAGAGACGGTCAGGCCAGGACAGAGGGAATTTAGGAAAGTTCTAGGTCCAGGGGCTCCATCTACCTTTAAAATCCAGAAGTTTATGCCTTCAGTGGGTCTCAGCTCCCCTTCCCACCCCTCAATCACACTCTATAATAATGAGTTTAGCAGTGCCCTCTATGGGGCTACCCTAAAGGGTCAGCATCAGCTTTGACATTTATTTCAATACTTTTCCTTGGAAAAGAAAAGATTGCTTTAACTGAACATTTTGCCTGGGATGATATAGTTATGAATTTATGTATTGTGGTGCATCTGGGGCCAGGCCATTGACTCATATTTTTTCCCCATTCACCTAAATTTTTGTTGGCAACTGTAACCATATAGTCTCCAGCTTCCTTTCAGAGCAACTTTATAAATAAATTTAGGCTTTGGTTTTGAATGGGAACCCTTATCTTTCCCCCAAACTCAGAGAGGAAAGGACCCTGGTCATTGGTTTTACTACTCTTAGTTTGCACAGCAGAGAACAGGAGGAGCAGCTGATCTCTGAGCTTCTATATTCCCCACTTTTTTGTGGTTTTATAATTGCCACACTCATAATTAGTGCCAGAATTTTTGCTGATTGCAAAAGTAACACATCATTATTATGATATTACAGAAAACTCAATACTACATAGTCATTGAGATATTATAGAAAACACAGAGATTAAAATAAAAGAATTATTGTCTTTTTATCCATCTCTCTTCTCACTCTCTAACACTTCTGTCCATTCATCTGTCAGTCTGTCCCTCCCTTTGTTTATTTATTCATCTGTCGGCCTATCTGTTCAACTCCCCATCTATCTACACAACCATTTCTTCAATATTTCAATTACAAATTATGGCACTATTATAGAATCTTTAATGTAAATATATATCTACTTAAAAGATAGAGTCATACTATTTCTACAATTTTGCAACCCTAGTTTATTCACTTAAAAATATTATGAACACTGTTTCATGTTGCTGGACAGAAAATAATGATGAACTATATTGAGAAACAGTTATTTGGGTTGCTAGCAATTTTTAATAATTTGTTTATATATATTCTTGTGCATACTTTTTGGCCACCTGTCAATTATTTTCATTTTTCTTGTATTAAAAATGCATTTTTTAGTGGGAGAAGAGAACTGTTAGTCATTTACATAGAAAAATGAAATTTTGTTTGGATATATTGGCAATTTGACATCTTATGAGAAAGTCAATCAAGAACATTTTTAGTTTGAAATCAAATCATTCAAAATTTGGGAAATGTACTGACATTGACAGACTTCTGTCTTAAAAAAAGTCAATCAAGAAAGATGCTGAAAAGTCCATGTTAAAGACTCACAAACACATCAGCAAATGGCTGGTGGTAATTCCCTTTCTGCTTAGAACTTTGGGATTTTTGTTTGTTTTGAGACTACATTCATCAGTGCCCACGGCTTACTACTGGCTTTTGGTGGTGCTCCAAGGGTTCACCATCTGCAAGGCAAGTGCCTTAACCACTGTACTTTCTCTCTAGACTTTCTGCTCAGTGTTTCTGGAAAATTATCTACCTATGCAATATTTGTGATACTTCTGTACCTTCTGTCCCGAATGCCCCTGCTTTCACCCATTCACAAGCTTGAATAATCTCAAACCTGAGAAACACATGATCATACCTGAGTTTCATTGAAGTCCTTTACACCAACACAGTAAACAATTGCACCAAGATCTCGGGATCTGTTAGCCTGGGTCAGTGAAAGAAAGACATGAGAATAATGCTGTATACCTATAAAATGCATCTATATGTGTATATGTATATGCATAAAAAACAAATAAACACTGTCCTCCCATTGTTCATCGATTTGCTCGAGCGGGCCCAGTAACGTCTCCACTTTAAGACTTGTTGTTACTATGTTTGGCATATCGAATACATCACGGGTAGCTTTCCAGGTTTTGCTGCACGGGTGAGATACTCTCGGTAGCTTGTGGGCTCTCCGAGAGGGGCAGATGAATCAAACCTGGCTCAGCCGGGCTGGCTGCGTGCAAGGTAAATGCCCTACCGCTGTGCTATTGCTCTGGCCATATATAGTTAAAAACCAATGTCAATTCAATAAATAATTTTGATCATTACAATAAAATAATTTGGGAAAGAAAAGGAAGCAAAGATACTAAAAAGAGAAACAGTAACAACTATAGTCCTTTTCTATTAGACTAGCTTCAGGGATTGGTTGAAGTATTACTTTGCTTTTTGAGGACCTACTGTGTGTCACACACCACAATGGAAAGGATAAAGGCACTTAGTGAATGAACATCAGATCTCAACATAATGCATGGTGGACATGAGAGATATCTATAGAAGTAAATTTGATGAAAATGATGGGAAACAAGGAAAAGTATAGGTTAAATAAGTGTTTTAGATATTCTGATACCTAACATTCAGCATTGAGTCTCAAAATAGAAAACAAAAATCATAAATCATAAGGTATATACCCTAGATACTTATTAAATAATTCATGGTAAACACATACATTGATTAGAATTGAATTATTTTTCTTCTCTTAATACTCAAACTCACTTGCAGCTGACTTTGAATTCCAAAAAGGAAAGAAACATATATGTATTTTCCCCTCATATCAGAAATATTTGATGCTTAGGGGAAAAATAAACTTTCAGTCTAGCCACAGTCTTATCTGCAACACATTCTATGACTCTTCTCCAATTGGGCTTTATATAGAATTATCAAACATGGAAAGACTCATTTTCTTTATATATCATGAGATTTATTTTTCAGTTTTCAGAAAGCCTCCTTGGCATTGGCATTCCAAAAATTTTCCCAAGATTATATGTGCCATACCTAAGATTCCTCTCTACTAACCCCTATTTTAAGTGTCTGGCACCCATCATTAGTTTCATAGTCCGTTATTTCCTTATTAGGGTTTTTATTTGACTTCTATTCAGCACTCAAGCCATTTTGCATTTCTATTGCAGTTTAAATTTTTGGTTATATACATTATTTTCCAAATTCTTAGGGGTTATCATAATTACCATGTATTTCCCCATTATAAATGATTCTTTCTATTTGTTGGAGGTAGGGTGGGAGTGATGTCTTTGCCTACACTATTTCCTCATGTATTTTGCCAGAACAGGATTCAGAAAGCTGATCATGACATGGTATTTCCATGAAGGGAACCAAAACCATAGTGTTTTGTAATCTCTGTGTCGCTAATGTCTAGCTAAGTGCCCAACATACTCTCAGAAAATATTGAGTGAATAAATTGTCAGATTCACTCATATCTGATAGTAGAGTATTTCTGCTAAATCTTCCATCTGCCAAACTGGTATAAAGAAAGAACTGTTTTTAAATCATATGGAAAAAATTTGAACATTCCCAGACCCCACCAAACAGTCTACCAAATAATACCAAATAACACACAAAATCTCAAGTAACAATTTTTCATGCAGTAAAAGCAGGGATGACAGGATGAGCACACAGCCTATAACATGCAGTTCTGGGAAGGAGCTTAATCGACCCAGAATCACTGCTGGGATCACATGCCGCATCTAGAATGGCTGCTACAAAACAAACCTTGATCACCAGTTTTGCTTTTCTTCCTATCTCATAAAAACAGAAATCTTTTGGGGAACACTTTCCATTAGCAAAAAAAGCACCAAGAGAGTACTTTAGGACAGCCTTAGTGAAATCTGAAAATCTAAAAAGCCAGAGGCACCTGCAAACTTCTTGATTGATGAAATTGCTGAATTTAAAATAAGTAGTAGTGGTGGGGCCTAAGAGATAGTATCTGAGTTAAGTCCCTTATCTTGCATGCAGCCAATTCCTGTCTGATACTTTCTGGCCCCACATAGTCCTCTGAGCACCAGGAGAGCAACGAGCACCCCCACCCTCTAATGCACAGAACTGAGAATAGCCTCTAAGCATTACTAGTTGCAGACCCAACACCGGCCCCAAACAACCAAAATATAAATACTAGTCAAGAGCTTGAGATAAATATACTGTTCTGATAAACCCTTCCCCCTCACTGCCTGTTTTTCTTCTTACTGTATTTTTTTCTAATTGCACTGAATGAACCTTTATCACTAACATGGCTTTATTACCATGGTAAGCTGGATTTCTTGGGTTTATTGTCTATCTATCATCTACCTATCTGTCTATCTGTCTACCTATATATTTGTAAAATCTAAAACTTGAAAGGAAAATATTTACAAAGTATAAGCATTTCTTTCCAATTCTTGATAAACCAATTTTATGAATCTCTTAATAGAACAAAATAAGGGTTCATTTTGAGAGAGTCCCTTCACTTACTTTGAGAAGCACTTCTTCAGAATATAAGAGGAAAAAAGAAGCACTGAAGAATGCTTACTTTGCCACCAATTAATGTTCAACTTTGGTTCTTAGAGTAGGAATCAATGATGAATACATTCTGACAAGATTGGCTCTTACATATTTCAAGTATTCCTTTCCCTTCCTCCTGTTTTTTAATAAGAAAATATGAAAGGACATAGAGGGGAAATGAAGCCAATGTTTTTGTTTAAAAGTAAAATATAGTATTTCAAAACTGCTAGATAAATGGAAAGCTTTCAATGAAGGCATGATAGGAATTTTTATCCCTCAAGACACAAAGTAATATGTAAATATTTTGAAAGGGGAAAAAAGACTTAGTTCACTTTAACAATAAATGATGATTACTGTTATTCACATATAATACTAATTTATCCAGGCTTTGTTTTTACCAAGAACATCTAATATTTTGCCAGAGAAGAAAGATTACAGCTCACTGCAAAAGGAAGAAGCCTTTAATCCATGTCTATGTGTAGATGCAGAGAAGATCATTGCTTACCTCCCTCTCTGAATAGAAAAAGAGATCTTCATGGAGCTCTCCATCAGTCAAAGCAATGATGACGCTGGCTGTCCTGTATCCTGTTCAACACAACACAGAAGCACTCAGTCCACCCCACCACACTGAGAGCAATCCACTCAGCCCTGGGTATCCATCTTTCTTATAAGCTCAACCTCTCACAGTCAACAGTATTGAGGATTAGCAACTTATTCTCGAAACTTGAAACAACTCTACCATGAAAATGATTGTGTCTGTAGGGACAGTTACTAGGGGAAGAAGCTGTGTGTCCAGGTTTCTCAGTCTCATCTGAAGCCAAGGCCAAACCTGGTGGCATGGGCACTGGACTGAGAGCTGGGAGTAACTTCAGAGAATCAGCTGTGAGTCTTTTCTAGAGATGGTCCATGTGACTATTGCTGAGTCCTTAGAGCCAATGATATGTCCCTGAGCTGTTCAGGATTCTTCTCACACCAGCTGGGCAGAGTTGGCAAGCTGATTTACAAGCTGACTGGGAGTTATTAAAGCAAATGGCGAAATCTACCAAAATTCTTGCAGTGATTTTTAGACCTTGAGTAATGTTGATAAATAGCTGATCTATATTAAGAAGGGTTGATGTTAATACTGGCTCTATTCAATTTGTTGCATTTTAGAATGAAATAGGCAGTGAATACTTTTACAGACCTGTGAGAAAAATTCTCACTGTAATCTGAATCTCTTTTATGAGAGTTCCCTTGTATTTAAAAAATTCTATCAGAGTTAGGAGTTGGTTCAAATGGTGGATCACTACAATTGACCTTATGTTCTCAGAACACTGCTGGAAATACAACCCACTCCCCTCTCCCCAAAAAAGAAATGCTGTCCATAAAAGTCTGCAGCATTGGTAACAAAAGCTAAAATAATTATAATACAAAAATTATTTCCATGAACTAGACATTCTACTAAATAATATATATATATAAGTGAAGCAAAGTTTAAATCATTGGCTGTTCTATCTTAGAATCATAGTCAGACACAGCACTAAAGTAACTTGGAGTTCAGAGTTCAAGAAAATTTAAACTCACATAGAAACCCAAGAATCAACTAATGCATCCAAGTATTTACTAATTTTATGAAAGCAACATGCACAATTTTTCATGGAAATTGCAGGCTATGGCTCAGAACTGGATTTTAATTATTTTTATGTAAATTTTCTTGGCAGCAATAAGAGAGTACAATTAGACCTGGCACAAGTTATCTTTCTGTGCCTTCCTTCCTTGTAAATATATGAAATATATGTCCAAGAAAAGCAGAGAGCAATAGCCTCTGAAACATGAAAATCACTGAGGTCCTTTTTCAGAAGAAATCACAGAAAGAGTTCGATATTTCATAATGATAATTCAAAACAGAGTCTTACCTTGACTGTTTTCATAATAAATCTGCTCACTGGCCTGAAAAACACATGAAAGAGCCATCATATATCGAGACTCTGTTGACCATTTCAGAACCATATTGGGCAGTGGACTGTAAGTGTTGGTTCTGAGATCATGGGTCTGTCTTGACTTATCACGTAAGCACTGGAATAAGGCTTTTTTATTCACCTCAGCTTCAGACAAATATCAATGGATCACATTCCTCTACAGTTATAGTCTTTCAACTACAATGTGTGTAAACAAAACTCAACATTCTATTCCTCAGAAATTGGGACCAGTCTCCTGTCATTTAAAGTTACTAGAATTCTGTCTCCATCACTGAAGCACTGTATAGAAAAGTTTACCTGGAGAATGGAGAGGCCTCATGTGCAGCAAGGTTCAGGACTATTTAGTACCAGCCAGCACCTCAAGGTCAGGGAAGGAATAAGGAAACTCATTTTTTTTCAGTTCTTTTGGACAGTTATCAGTGTAAGTGGTTAAGGGAATTAGTTTTCACTTCCTTGGCCATGAGGTGTTATCTAGTTCCCTTCACATATATGTCATACATATCTCACCATTTTTAGAAAGATGTTTTCATCTAATGTATTATGTTGGGAGTTTATTTTAAAATACTCTTATACAATCAGTAATAATGGGGATTTTGGGGAAAGGGAACCCTCATCTATCATTTGTGGGAATGTTTTATTCTGACTCTATGAAAAACTGTTGGAAATTTCTTTTAAAAATTTAGAATTTAGCTTCCATATAATCCAGCAATTTCACTACTTGACATGAATCCCAAGGGCCCCAAAACTCTTTGAAAAAGCCATTCATGCTCCTTTGTTCACTGCAGTGGTGTTCACAATAGCCAAGATCTGAAAAAACCTAAGTGTCCAAGAACAGATGACTGGATAAAAAAAATTGTGGTATATATACACATTGGAATAATACTTAGCTATAAGAGAAGATAAATTAATGCATTTGGCTGTCATGAGGATGGAACAAGAGGGTATCATGCTGAGTGAAGTTAGTAATAAAGAGAGGGACAAATACAAAATGATCTCTTTCATATGTGAGCTGGAAAGAGACTAATAAGAAAAAATGTAGGGCAGTGGCAGAAGACCCTGAGACTTGAGCTACAGAGCCAAGTTTACCATGAAGGTGGAGGAGGTTAGAAAGGCAACAGTAGAGGGATGTTGGCACTCTGGTGGTGGTATGTTGGAAAACTGTATACCTAAAACTTTATTATTTGTAGTACTGTAAACCTATATAAAAAAACTTACAAAAGAAACAAGTTTACACACACACACACACACACACACACACACTCACACACACACACACATCCCAAAATAAAATTACCCTTTCAAATCCTTCATGCATGTAAGTATCTCCTCCGGGCAGGACCTTCTGGAGTTCTTCCAGACCCTGACGAATCTGCTCCCTGAAATCCAGAAATACCCTGTTAATCTTTTGGAGCATTTTGTGCTTTCCTATCTGTTAGTCTTTTTCTTCTTTTATAAATAATGTAGTTATATTGTCCCAGAATTCTCCAAAAGCCTCTCGGAGAGTCTTTGTCATAGAGCATCCATCCAGAGCCAGCCACAAGACAGGCTAAGTGAAGGATGGTAATGAAGGATGGTACCCTTTCGCTGGACTCCCATTTCCTCTCACTTTTCCATTCCTTTAACAGGACAAATGTTTACCTTTTGCCTTGGACAAGTATCTAAAAAATGCGACTGCTCCCTCCCCAGGGGACTCTCAGCAACTTAGAAAACTTTGTATGGAGATACGGATGGTTTAAGTGAATCCAAAAGAGACAGACACTGAGCGCCTGGGACAAGACTCCTACCAGAACTGCTGAGGGAGAGGCAAGTGTCTGGAACCACGTCTGCCACCCACTTGGCTGTGCCAAAGGAAAACATGTAGTCAGCTTTGGACATAAAAGTCCAGGCAAGCCATGCTTTCCAGGACAACCAAGAGTGTTTTCTGTGGGCTGGTGACGTGTTTTTATACAAAGGTTGCTCAAGGAGGAGATGGAGCAGAGGAAGGAAGTGGGTTATGGCATCAGGAAAGGGTCTGGTGGGCAAAGGGAAACTTGAATCGTTTGGGGCGCTTTCTATCTGGTTGGTAAGAAGTTCACATGCATGCTCCTGTATTTTAATTAGCATCACACTGAACAGAAAACGGCAAGAAAAGTGCAATTTCTGGGTGGGGGAGGGGTCAACAAAAACAACCTAGTTTGTAAATTATAAGCCTATGAAAAAGTAAAAAAAAAAAAAACCTTCACACGGAGATCTCTTCAGAAACAGATGTCAGAGAGACACAGATTTTGGAAATGTTCCTTTTGAGTAGAGAAAGAAACCTAATACACGTTGAACATCATTCACCATGTACAGGCCCAAATGTACATGTACAGGTTATTTTATAAGATGAGAAAACTTGGGTTCATAGCAGTGAAGTAAGACAGCAGAGTATTGAACACTATTCAACTCAGAAATGGCATTCTCCTCTTCTAAGCAGTCTCCGAGCACGGAATTATAAAAAGCAAGTGGTTTTCACTAACACTGTTATGAAGGAGCAAAGGCCATTTCCAATAATGTCTGAGCGGGCCAATTTCTGTTCATACACCACGGAAAATGAATTCACTTCCTCCTTATGGCAGTTGTTTGGGTTAGAAACTATTATCTCCATTTCACAGAAGAAAAGCGAGGCACAGGGATACTAAGGTAATTGCTCAAACCCACCAAATCCTGCCATCGCAGGATTTAAACCCAGAGACCCTTCTTTGAATCATTATGTTATTCAGTTTCTCAAATAACTGAGTGAATGAATGACATTAAATTTATTAGCCTTTTGTGTCAACTGCTTGGGCAGAAATACTAATGCAATTAGCCTTTCATTAAATCTGATGTAGTAGCGTGGATAGGGTGAGACCAGATTACCAGACTGGAGGTTTGAAAAAACAATCTGGGGCTGAAGTGATAGTACAGCAGGAAGGGTGTCTGTGACTCACACAACTACATATGGGCCTCTGAGCCTTGCCAGGAGTGATTCCCCGAGCACAGAGCCAGAAGAAAGAATCTGAAAACAGGTCTTTGTGAGTCTTTGTCTGACCTGGGCTGCTGCTATTTCTCTAGGGAAACATCTTAAGACATAGTTACTCAGCCTTTGGGTATTTCTGGTTGTATTATCAGTGTCTGGATATCAGGTCACATAACTAGCTGCTGATGTTAGAAACTAAACTAACTAAGTCTTCCTTGACTTTCTACCTGACTCTCCTCTCTCCTTCGCCTCCTCCATGTAACCAATAATCCAATCCGATTGGCTGTACTCTTAAGTATATGGTTATAAAACTGACTACTATGAGATAGTCTGAGATTCTGCCAATGCCTCGTCTGAGTCACCATCATCCCTTGCTTAAGCACGAGGATAGTCATGGGCTATTATTTTACTCTCTCTTCTTCTAGTAATCTCAATATGGTTGCCAGAATCTTAAAATACAAAACCTTAAAAATCTTAAAATACAAAATCTTAAAAATCAAAACCTTTGATTTTTTTTTTCTTTTGGCTAGAGGAGAGAGTTTGGGCCACATCTGGAAGTGCTCAGGGACTACTCCTGATTTTGCTTGGGGTTCATTCCTGTAAGAATGCAAAGCTAGTGCCTATATGCAAAGCTAGTGCCTCAACCCCTATGCTATCTCTCCAGAAAAATCTTTAATAGTGGTCAGTAACTACACTTGTAATAAAACTTCCCAATTCTACCAAGACCTTTTAGTGTCTACAGGGGCTTGTTTCACGTTGCCTAACTTCGACTTGTACTACTCTGCCCCTATTCCCTTCACTTGAGTCTCAATGATCTCCCCAAATTCCTTTCTCCAATATCCCTTTCACATCTGCAATGACTGGGCCAGGCAAGCAGGGCTACTTTCTACCACCTCTGCACGGGGCTAATTCTGGCCCATTCCTCTAGGTCCACTTAAACAGCAATTTTTAAAAATCACCTTTTTGTCCACCTCAACCCAAATGAGTCCCCTCCCTCTATTAGGCTCTATCATGACAACCCACAATTTTCCCTTCACCGTTCTGATAGGTTTGTGTGGCAAGTAACATTAGATTATAAATAATTAGTTTTGGGGGGAGGAACTGTTCTTTTCAGACTTTAAGCTACACAAGAGGCAGATCATGTCTGATTCTGGTCTTGCTAGAGCCTCAATGTCTAGAGAAGAGTCTGGCACCTGATAGATATTCCACAAATATTTTGAAGACTTCATTTGGCCTTGGAAAAGGAGGCCAGGCAGGTGCTTACCTGATCACTGAGCCTAGGTCTGGACCTATAGAGTGATTATAGACCATTTTCTGTATTTATTTCTCATTCCCTTGCTTGTATTTATTTATCCATTCTTCCCTTTTCCCTCCATCTCTGTCATTATTGTGAATGACTGAGGGTCACACACACCTGGATGTGGTTCTTGTGCTTTTGCTTGAGGTGCTCTCCCACACCTTAGTTGTGGTACCCACTGAAGGATGGATGTAGTTCTCACACACCTGCTCAGAAGGGGCCACACTTCTGGTCTCTGTGCCGACACAGTTTTAGTTGATATGCTCACCTGGAGTCTCACATGTTAGTTGAGGTGCTTGTATGCAGCTGACCGCATACCAGGAATCATACATTCTGCTGAGGTGCTGGGTTCTGAGACTCCACTGGGACCATGATGAGTGCACATGGTTATCAGCGGGGACTGAACTCAGTGCCTTGGTGCAGGGCAGGCACTTGGGCCCACTGTGATCCCTTCAGCCCTTATTCTCTGTGTTCTCTACCCTAATATTTTAATAAAACCCAACAAAATGCATTTGAATTTCAACTGTTGTTGGGTAGTGAGAAAGGGAATATAACTGTGCATTAGAAGAATGGACAAAGATGAGGCTGCTGTGTCTGACCAGGGTTATTGATTGGGGGCTGGAGGGTTGGCATTAGCAGAAGACATTGGCAGAAAACAGCTTTGCCTTGGAGTCTGACCTTTTTCTTGAAGGGAATAGCAGAGGCAATGTGGTGTGACATCAATGCTCAGATATGTGGGTGAGGCTCTGATAAGAAAAACCAAAGTTTGTTTCTGAATACAGAAGTAGTATCCTGAAATACTGGGAGGAGCTATGTGGAAGGAGAATAATTTATCATAATTATTTGGGAAGAGATTGGATGTTATAAATATATTCTTATTCTTTGTTTATGGACTAGTGAGATTTGAGACAAACTGATAATACTAAAATTGGGATATTGTGTTAGAATTCAAGCTTTAAAAAATTACCTTTACAATATTGCAAATTACAGTGCCTAAGCAAAAATAAATAATAAATTAAAAGATATTGGGAGTATGGAAGATTCCTTTGTTTCACTGTTCTTTTATTGCTCCAAATAAAGTCTGGTGGATGGGAGTTAGGGTGTTTTCTCTAGTCTGTTTCCCTCAACCCTCTCTCTTTTTCTCTCTCCTCTCTCTTTCTTTCTTGCTTTCCTTCCTCTCCTTCCTCCTTCCTTCCTTCCTTCCTTCCTTCCTTCCTTCCTTCCTTCCTTCCTTCCTTCCTTTTTTTTCCCTTTCTCTCCTCTTTCTCTCTTTTTGTTTTGTTTTTTAGACCACACCCAGCACTGCTCAAAGCTCACTCCTGGCACTGTGGTCAGGGATCACTTCCGGCAAGCTTAAGGGACCACCTGGGGTGCCAGGAATGGAAACCAGGTTGGCTGCGTGCAAGGCAAACTCACTATAGTTCTACTCACTATACTATCGCTCTAGTCCCTGTTTCCTTTTCTTTACAAGTATTTTCTTGAGTTTTCTTGTTTCTTGATACCAGAACAAGCAAAGGTTGCTTTAGCAAATACCCTTATTTTTGATATTTTTTGTCTGACTATGATAGGAGCTCAGTAGTCCCAGTGATCACAATCTTTCTCTACACCACTCTAACATGACAAAAGATCAAGACTTCCTGCCCTAACTTCCTATGTCTTCTCTATGCACCCACAATGCCTAAGGCAGTGAACAGTGGGGTTATGTGAGAATTGAAGGTCCATTTTAATTCTGGAGCAATAGAACTATTACCATTACTTAGGGTATTTTTTTTAATGTTCTCATAGCAACAGAAAACAATACCTTGGGAGAAAGACATATTCAAGGAAGGAGTGGATGATAAGAACCTCTCCAAGGACTTGGTTATTACCAAATGAAATGCTATCTTCCTGGGAAATGAGAGAGGCTGGGAATTTGTGAAGAGAAGCTGCTATTAAAGAGTCCTCTGTTTTCCTTGGTGGTTTCACATGTCTGCCAGTGTTTCTACTTAGCAGTAAAGAGTTTTCAGGCCACATGTGGAGTGTTTCTTTTGCAACTCTGGCAACACTTAATGATGGGCACAGAATAGGTAACTTGTTAAATAAATGACTCCAATTGGGATGTG